TCTTTCACTCAGAACACTGGTAATACTGCATGGAACTAATCATTACTGATGGAGACTTTACCCTTCATTCATTCTAACAGTAGTTGTTAAAAAATGCTATAAACACATTCTAGGGCCACTATAAAAACTGAACTGGAGGGGTCTTCACAGTGGGGAAGCAACTCTACATGTCTTCTCATTAGGCAGCTTTCCAGGGTCCCCAGAGAGAGTGACTTTCTATAGAGGGTTTAGGAAATATGAAGTCATTAAACTTTCACTAAAGCATTTAATTGTTCGAGGAAAACACTTTAGTTTTTGTGCTTTTGACATTCTGAACATGGATCATTTGTTTAAGTATTTTCCTCTTATGTGTGCTCTTTCCTTGATTTACCTCTAGGTTCTGTGGCTATAATAAGTCAAAACACAGTACAGATGAAAAAAGACTTCACTTTGGGAATGGGCACTGTAAGTTTCTCAACTTTTGTTTTGTTTTACCATTTTAGTTTCAGCAGTTGGCTTATAATTGGGTAACTTCCCTCCAACAGAGAGAATCAGAGAGAATTTAAAAGAAGTTTTATGGAAAAAGTTGAGTAAATTAAATTTATTTTAAGAGAAGGAAATTCATAGCTCTGCATTAAATAATTTTTACATGGCTACATTTCAGTATACTTAAGCTAAAACAAAGGATAATCTGCGGTTTAGACTCAAATAATGAACACGATGGGTAGTAAGCACTGTAGTCAGCTCTGTGGGTCTGAAATGCAAAGCGTATCTTCAATTTCCTTCTTACCAGTCTTTTGCTGAAATCTAAATAGGAGACTTTTCTTTATTCTAACTGCCAAGTAAATATAAACAATCTCTGTTTATGCGAAATGCCTTATTCCATTTTGTCAACCAACCAGGAAGGAGTCTCTACAATAAACTGTTTACTTTGGAGTTACATGATATCCAGTTAGTAGGAGAGCCAGCATTTTCTCCCCACATTTTAATACCAACCCAAGCAATTTAGATTTTTAATATTTTCTAAAAGAAATGCTCATTTAGAAAACAAAGGGCTTACATCTAACAAACAGGCTCATTTTCTTTCTTCTGATGTAACAACTCATACCAGGTGTTTTGCTTTCACAGACTATAGTTCAACTTAACATGGCAATGGCTAATCAGTGGGCTTAAAAGGCATAGGGTGTTCTCCTGGACATAAGTGCAAGGAGTATACTTATGCTCATGTTTTCTAAAATAGTCTTAATACAATTTATAGTCTCGTAGGCATGATTTTCTTTGGCATTCACCAGTACCTACTAAACTTTTTTTCAAATCAACATGCCATTTCTTTCTTTTTTGACTGTAATTTATGGATTACATATACTCTCTGTACATTCTTGTGGAGTACCGTATGGTTTCTTAAAACATAACAATCAAGTCAAGAATATGCTCATACATTGAACTGTACATTATGTTGTACATAGTTGTACACGTTGTACTAGTTGATATTCATTCTACTAGTGTTTTTTAAGTATATATTGAATTGTCAATGATAATTTTTACTCCTCTGTGGTATGCTGTTCGTAACCCATTTCATGTCTTTACATGCATTCTGTGTCTGCCAATCATTTCCTCCCAGTGCCCCCTATAAATCCCCTCACGAAGCTTTCGAATCTACCATTATTCTCCCTCTTTCTATTGCATAGATTCCTTCAGCTTCTGCCATAGAGCTAGACCACTCAGTATAGTGCCTGCTATTTCTTATCCGCTGTTGGATTTGTATCTAAAAATGATAACCATAGTTATGACTCAAATCAAAGAAAAAAAAAAGAAAGGAAAAAAAAGAAAAATTCTGATTACTTGTTGCTAACTTGTAGGAAGCATATAATAGCTCAAAAACATATCTTTCAAAATGTAAAATTGATGAGAGATGAAAACAGTTTTCAGAAAAAGTATTTGATTTGTTCATCTCATCATAGAGTCACTGTAGAATAATCCACAAAAACCCCAAAATTCAATTTTCCTAATACCAATATTACATCAATTCAGATTAATTAAGTGACCGATTCAAAAATCTTACAAATGTACGCGAACAGATTATAGAATACTTGTCTTCCTCTTAAGGTCCTACAAAACACTGTGTTACATTTTCTATGCATAGAACAAATTAATTTCTTATAGATTAAGTCGCTCTTGGTTTGAATTGAACAATTGATTTAAATATTGTCCTCAGAGAAGTCCATGTTGGTTTGATTCTTTCTATAGAAATTTTAAGTCTTAGGAATTTGAAGCTTTGATAAATTTCCATGGGCCGATTGTAAGCAGGTTCATGTATTGCCCCCGTCTTTTTTGCTGTTTGCTTTTTGTTTTGTTTTATTTTGATGAGATGTGTTGAAACCAATTTTTTTCCCAATGCAAAATATCCTTATGATAAAAAAGAAATGCATTTTATTCTAGCTGCAAGGGTATGAAGTCACTTACATGCATGTCATAAACTTTCTGCCTCTTAATACTGCAGCTGGTTTATTTCAGACCATTTATTTGGTATTACTTTAAAAAGCTCTAGCTATGAACTATTCCCTCCAGCCTTGTTACAAATCCTATAATATCGCTTCAAAAGGAAAGAAATGTGTTTCACCTCCTCAGATCCTGTCCTCTTGCCCTCTCTGGCTGGGCCTTTTTACTCTTTTGCTATCCTTAGGGCAACTCATGCTGGTAAAATGGAAATGTAAATTATTGTGTTTGCACAGAACGAGCTGTAAAGTAGTGCAGCTTAACACGTGTGCATGTGTTTATTATCTGGTTTTCACGACAGAGCCCAGTTACTCTGTATGTTGCCCTTAATTATTGGTGTGAAGGGATTATGTGCCTTGCAGCTTGAATCACCTGATTCCTGGAACCTCTGGGGTCAGCAGTTAAAAATTAGCAGTCAAAGCTCCCACAGTAAACAGACCATTTTACTTGGGGAGAGGGGGGCTGTTTATATTTGTAATTTTTTTCTCCAAATGCATGTGGATATAGAAGCATTTTACCTTATCTTAGTTGAGAAGAGCAATGAGTAAGATTGATTTTATTTGGGAATAATTATTTCATTATTTTATTTTCAGACTACTTAGTAATACTAGGACTGTCTGGTACTAAGGATAACTCTTAAACCACACTTTCAAGGCTTTTTAAAGCCAGTGCTTATTGAGATATTTGAAACATCATTCCTGACAACTCATTCTATAATCTTTGTAAATTTTGGTGCCAGCATTTCTCCTCCAAATTGATTTTTTTAAGTTCAGCAAGGTAAAATATTTGTAGTTGTTTACCAAAAAATATTCACTGTTACTGTAAAAGGTGTCACTCCTCTTCCTTGAAAAGGAATGCTAGATTTATTTTATGAAGTGAAAATTCAAAACGGGAAGATCAGATAGCAGAGTCTCAATCTGAGGTTCATTAAAATGTAACCAAATTGATTAAGCAAAAGGTTCTAACAAATCTTTATTTCCTACATATTTTAGTAACTCTTTAATTACTTTTATACTTTTCCTTACTCCAGCAGCAAGAACAGTGTGATAGCTTTCCTTGATCTGATTCTCTTTTTGAGGGTAAAATGTTAAACCATATCAGTGTAATAAGGACGTACAGTAGACCGCCTGTATTCAAGAATGATTCTCCCGTCTGCTTTCCTAGGGAGGAATCTTGTCTATAATGAAAGAAGTGTAAACTGATGAATAAGTGCAAAAGAAAGAGGCATTTCTGAGCCCAGATTTTACTGACAGGAAACCTCAATGCTAATAGTTGTAAATAAATATCCGTACCGAAAATACTAATTAGGGCAATAATCTCTATCATTCACAAAGCTCTTACTACTTATTAGGTACTTGTGATAGGCATATTTGAATTGTAAGTTTTAAAGAATTTTCTCTTTCTCAGACCTAGGTTTTCCATTTTGCAAAGACAGAAAAACTCCAGAAGTGAAGTTTTTACTTCAAAAGCTATTCCACTCACAGTTCACTCAAAGCAAGAGCCAAAATTTGAATTTCCTTATTTCTCTGAGCCTTGACTTCCTGGATAGTTGTCCTTTTCGATTGCCCACATCCTGCCTCAGGCTGGAGAGCTGTTGCCTTTTTGTACTAGGGATGTCAACACCAGTGAGAAGGAGGGTGTAGGCCTTTCTCCTAAGATTCTACTCTCACTCTCTCAACTTATTATGTTGTATCAAAGTCACCTGAAGAAGTAGTTGAGGAAAACAGTGTACCTCCCATCCCCAGGCCACAACTGGTTTTCTAACCTATTTCTTTCTTACGCCTCTGTTTATTTACTCAACACTTCAATGGAAGCTTCACAGAAACATAAATTATACTGTAGTATGTAGTATAAACAGATTATACTGTAGTATAGCATTCATGAAGTTACCTTATAGTTCAAGGGCTAATTTCTTAAAACAAACTCTGAAATCTTGGAGTTATTGGCCTATTGTTCACTGTGCTGAAAGCTTTCTGGAACTACTGGCATCTACCAAAACTGAATCAAAGAAATCTTTGCTCAATCTATCATTGTCTTTTTTTTTTTTTTTTTTTTTACATTTTTATCTTAGGACACATGTACTCACTGGAGAGGAGAGAGACATAGAGAGAGACTGTGAAAAGGAAACTGAGAAATTGTCCAATTACCGTCTGGGGGAAATGACCATGCCACAGTCTCTTCTCCTCTGTTCTCTTGAGATTTGGGGCACATACACACACATGCCCTGGTTGATTTTCAAGCAGCCAGGTCTAAGACTTGAACAGCAGTCGGCAATGTGGGAGTCTAGCATCTAATCCACTACTTCACCTGCTCGTCCCTTCAGTGTCATTTTCACAGTGATATTCTTCTACTACAAAGTAATGGATAACAGATAATGTTGGCTTTTATTTGTTATATTAGAACAAAAAAACCTTCAATAATTTAGTGTAAAGACTGTAAAAAAATAACTATTAACCATCCATGTACCATGCTAAAGCAATTTTATCAAAATTAATAGCAAAATTGTATAGCAAAGTAGATATACTATGGGAGCTCAATTCCAATTTCACTTAATGTTAGAGCATGTTAATGTACTTAATAGATTTTATGCTATCTTTTAAAATTTTAATTCTCTTTCAGAGAATGTTATTTTACGGAATATTCCAAATAATCTCTAATGTGAGTATTTTTTTTCCAAATGATAGGAATCTCACTAGTATTAAATCAAATCAAAGGTGACTTTTCTGTGTCATTAATATATTAATATTTTCATGACAAAACATAAGAATTTTTTACTTTAGGGACCAGCAGTTGGCGTAATGACTATGTTGCTAGACTCCCATGTAGCCGACAATGGTTCGAATCCCGGACCCACTGGCTTAAACTCACACTGGGCACATGTGCGTGCATGCCCAAGATCCCAAGAAGAGAATGGGGGAGAAGAGATTGTGGTGTTGCTATCCCCCCTAGGGGGTGATTTCTTGCTTTCTGTCTCTCTGCCTCTCTCTGTCTTTCTGGCGAGTGCACACACCCTATAACAAAAACCTCTCCAAAAAAAAGAATTTTTAACTTTAGAATAAGTTAATATATAAATATATTATGAAAGAGATTCATATTTAGTAAATTATATATATGATTTATTTGGAATTCAGCACCTTAGCATCATTTTTGAACTCATAAGCAACATTTACCTTGATTTTAATTATGTGGAAAAGATACATAATAATATTTCAATTAGTCAATATTATACTACGGTGTGCATCTAATACAAACACACATTTACACATACTCATAACTTAAAGTAAATCTGTACTTGAAATGGATGATTTTAGTTGTGAATGCTAATAAAAATAATCAGTGTCAGAGAAAAACCATCTCATTTTATATCCTTTAATTCATTTATCTTTAATCAGAACAACCATATCATCTTAAGTACTTTATGTACTTTAATTTACTGCCAGATGCTGCTTTATACTGGATATTTTGTTACTACAGTGCTTGGAGAATCATAAATGTGCAATAGCGTTAGTACATTCGTTATTAGTGCTACGTCTGGCAATTACTAAACTCACTTAATTCTGAACTACCTTCCACCTAAAGAACCCCTTTCATGAATGTCCATTTGTTTCTAACTCGTTATCAATTCCTCGTTGTGGTTTCTCTTTATTTTTTATCATGGGAAATTTTCTTAAATTTTCAACACATAGGTCAACATCACTGCCAATTTCTGTGATTCCAGAGAATAAACTAAACGTTGATACACCTGTTGGGATGGATATTTTTTAAACCAATAATATTTGCTCAGTAAAGGTTTTATGAATCTAGTTAAAATACTGTCTTTCTTCATTCTCTTCAATAGTGAAACTTCCAGGCCTCAGGACTTACGTGGACCCACACACATATGAAGACCCTACCCAGGCAGTTCATGAATTTGCCAAGGAATTGGATGCCACCAACATATCCATTGACAAGGTCGTTGGAGCAGGTAACCATTATGAGAACCCCAGCATTACTCAGAAGTTTACAGCTATGTAAGGAGTGCTACCTGAGATTGCTCTGAGGTCTAATACTGCTTTGGAAAGGGGCATTTTCTAATTTCGTGATCAAAGGCAGGCAGTAAATACATGGAGTGCTTAATGGAATGTAATGATTTCAAAGGTGCCAGACTTACAGACTCACAGACCATGGCTCCCTTATATTTATTGAATTTCAGAGGTGGCAGCAGCAACAGCAGCAACAGCTCAATCTTCCTGTGGCTACGCTGATCACGTGTCACAAAGCCTGTTTGGTCAAATATGGATAACAATGTAAAACAAGCCCAGTAATGGGAAATGTTGATTTTCAATTTAAAAATCCTCTTTGGCATTAAGGAATGGTCAATACTAAATAAAATTATGACATGTGTTACATAAATTTCATCACAATTATTATGAAAAGATCATTTAAATAGCATGAAGTGGTTCACTTTGATGCTTGCTGGATTTATATGGTATTAACTTATTCTTGCCAAAGCTATCTTTATATAAGTAGCTCTGTAACATAATCATTGACTTAATCACACATTTATTGACAGCTATGATATGACTTTAAATAGCAATTGCATGTTACCAATAAAACTTCAGATATTTGTAAAAATAATAGTATTATATACACTTACACATAAACACGTGGCTATCCATAACATATGTGGAAACAAAATTTATTCAGAAGTAAGAATGAACTATGGTTCAACAATAAAGAGCCTTGCACCATCTCCCATAGATATTACTCTCAAAGCAAATTCGAACTAGTAATGCTGATGCAAGAATGAGAGTGAAAGATTGAGATATTAACTCACTGAATTATGCATGACACATCAGACCACATGTTCTGCAAGTTCTATATTTATATATTTATAATTGATCCCTCTTTGTAGAAATGTGTTCTTTTTCTACACACTGCAGCAGTATTTAAAATTCAAGCTGGTAGTTAGTAGGCAAACAAGGCACAGTGAGTAATTCCTATTATCAAATAAAATAATAATTGACTAAATTTTCTCCTGTGATTTTCCTAGTGTCTTATCCTCCTAAAATTAACAAGTGCAGATAATATTAAAATACGAAACTGATATTTACAAGGAACACTAGAGTAGGTACTACTTGGAGAATATATGTATTCACTGTCCGTCATTGATAATTGAGGACCGAAACAGGGACATAGGGACTGCTCTGTTTCATTCGTCCAGTGCTGCTCTGTGAACAGTTCCATGATGCGGCAGGCCTTCGTTTGACTGTGGCCCCACAAGAATGCACCTTTCTTCAGCATGGAAACTATGCTAGCAAAAGCAGCCTGAGGACTTTACACCCTTCCCTGGCGAATCTGATGAGAGAGGAAATCCTTTGTTCTGCCCATGTCTATAAAGTCAGTCATTAGAGTGACCTTGAAGTCTGGGACTGTCTGCCTTGGTGAAAGATTTTATGTAGAGATGTTATGGATAGAGCCAGATCTTCAGAACACCATGGAGTAAAATAAACACATGGTATCTGATAAACAGGATAAGGGGATGTCTACTCATACTGAATCTGTTCATCTCTGATAATCACTAAAGATTAGAACACAACCTCTGTTTCCTTTCTTTTTTCAAACATATTAGTAAGTAATTAGACATATGCCCCATATTTAGGGTTTTCCATCCAATATTGTAATTTGACACATTCAGAACATTAAAACTGTGCCTATTTTATCTGCAAGTAGGTAGGTATTAAGGGTCAGTTATACTTCTGAGAGGATTCAGTATAACATGCATGCCAACAAGGTTGCCATGAATAGTCTTCAGAGAGTTTGTTGTTATTTGTTTGTTGTTACCAAGACAGAATATGAAATCAAGGCCCATCCATGATAGCACATGTTGGTCACTGCTGCTCTGAGACCCCATTTTTAAGGCAGCCAGGAATTGAACCTGGTTAGAAAACCAGTTACCTTGGCATGCACCAATGGTCCCAACTACTTTAGAGGCTAAGGCTGGAGAGTTACCATATAGCAAGACCCCATCTAAAACCATACATACAAAGAAACATAGACATATGCTATAAAAAAATTAAAACAAACAAATGTTAGAAAGAATATGCAGGGGCTAGCAGGTGGTATACTGGTTAAAGTGCTGGACTCTCATGTCATTGTTGACTGGGGTTCAAATCCTTGACCTGGTGGCTTACCCCGGTACCTTCAGCTGGTGCACTGGGCATGTGCACATGTGTGCCCGAAATCCTGAGAGCAGAATGGAGGCGAACAGATTGTGGCATGGCCATCCCCCCAGGAGGTGATTTCTCACTTTCCATCTCTCTGTCTCTCCAGTAAGCACAGGTGCCTAAACAAAAATGTCTTTTAAAAAAAAAAACAGAAACAACATGAAACTGAGGTTTTTATAGTTAAGAATTTTTGACATTTGATTATATTGATTAAAAACTATATTTCATTATTATAAAACTTAACCTTTTTAGTCACGTTCACAGTAAATTAAGTTGGGAGAAAAAAATTATATATTGGGTTGTCAGAAAAGTCATGATGCATTTTTTTTAAATAATTATTTTATTTACCATTCTTTTCTTTCTTTCCTTTCATTCTTCCTTTTTCTTTCTCTTTCTCTCTCTCTCTTTCTTTCTTTCTCTCTCTTTCTTTTCCT